AGTCACAAAAGATAAGCTGAAAGCTACAGATGGTAGGATGGTTAATGGTACATGTCAACTTGGCTAGGCTATGATTACCAGTTTTTGTGTGGTTTTCCTCCATTTTGTGATATTACACACTTATCCTCCATTTTATGTGTTGTAAATCCTAAGCTCTGTATGTTAATGAGGCAGGATTAGTGTGTGGTGTAGCTTGAGTCACAGCCTTACAAGAGGGGATGACTCAAGTCACACCCTCACTCAAGTTTAAGCCTCACTCAAGTCACACCCTTATTCAAGTACACTCTTACTCTAATAATAAAGGGGTATTTACTTGGGGGTGTGACCTGTATCCAATATATACATGGATGCTCCAGCAAGGCTCTGCCTTGCTCTGGATCCTCTATCTGGTCTGTCATCTTCTAACCTCTGATTCTTGGGAGCTGAGCCTGTTATCTACCTGTTGATTCTGGGATTTTCCAGGTTCTGCAGTCCTATGAGCCAGCAGCCCACCATATGACCTGCCAATTTTGGGATTCACTAGCTTCCACAGCCTCATGAGCCAACATGCTATTGTCTGACCTGCCAATCGTGGGTTCATCAACCCGTGCAACAACACAACAACATGAGTCAGGACTGTCCTCCAGCCTGACACCTGACCCTCAGATTTGGGGCTTACCAGCCTCCCAACTGCATGAGCCATTTCCTTGAGATACATCTCTCTCTATGTCTCTCTCTCTCTCAAGTATTTTTCACATATAACTCACCCACATAAATAATGTGCACACACATATAATGCACATAGGAAACTAATGTGCAAGGGAGTTGTGCAGTTTGCAAAAAGCCATATAATGCACATGTTATTTGCATAAAAATATGGCATATATACGCTTCACTGATTTTGCTTCTCTAGAAAACCCACCCTAAGACAGGTGGTAGGAGCTCTGGCAGCATAGTGGCTAAGGCACTTACTTGACTGCTAATCAGAAGGCTGGCAGTTCAAACCCACCAGCCACTCCTTGGAAGGAAGGTTGGGCAATCTACTTCTGTAGTGATACTGCCTTGGAAACCCAAGGAGGGGTCGCTATGAGTCAGGTCCGACTCAACGGCACATAACAACAAAAACAAGACAGGTGGTACAGTTTTGTTACCCTCTTCAGCATTAGGTGATACAGCAGAAAGACAGGGGAAATGGATAGAGGGACTATCCAGGGGGCACAATGTCACTGAGAAAAATGAGCAACTTGCTCTGAATAGAAGTCAGTATAGGTAAATGGTATGGATTTCAAAATAAGCTATGACGACAGAACAATCTGGATGAAACAGAGAAAAGCAAAATGTATCAAGTGCAATAATTCATTTCTATTCACTATGCATGATCAGTCCAAAAATAACATTAAGAAAATTTCCATTTACAATCCCATTAAAAAGAATAAAATACTTAGAAATAATTTTAACACAACAAATGCAAAACTTACACTATGAAATCTACAAAACATTGAAAATTCAAGACCTAAAAAAAAAATGAAAAGCTATCTTGGATGTTCATGGATCAGATTTAATATTGCTAAGATTGCAATACTCCCCAAACCAGTCTACTTATTCAATGCAATCCCTATCAAAATTCCTGCTGCCTTTCTTTGCAGAAATTGATGAGCCAATATTAAAATCCATATAAAAATGCAAGGGACCTGGAATAATTGAACAATCTTAAAGAAAGAACAAAGTTGGAGGATTCATACTTTCTTATTTCAAAACTTACTACAACAGTGTATAGCAGTACAAGGATAGATGGAGATCAATGGAATAAAATTGAGAATCAAGAAATAAATTATTATATTTACACATTTACAGCCAACTGATTTTCAATAAGGGTACAGGAACATTCAATGAGGAAGGAAAAGTCTTTTCAACAAATGGTGGTGAGACAACTGGATACCACATGCAAAATAATAAAGTCGGGCCCTTACCTCCCACCATATACAGAAAAAAATAACTCAAAATGGATCAAAGACCTAAATGTAGAAACCAAAACTACAATACTCTTTAAAGAAAACAAAGATATAAATCTTTGTGACTTTGAATTAGGTTTATTAGATCAGATATCAAAGGCATAAACAATCAGAGAAAAAAACAGATAAATTGGACTTCATCAAAATTAAAATCTTTTGTATGTTAATGGATAACATGAAGTAAGTGAAAAGATAATCCACAGAATGGGAGAAAACATTTGCAAAGTATCTGCTAAGGGCCTAATATCCAGAATACACAAAGAATTCTTACAATCAACAATAAAAAGACAAATCATCCAATTTAAAAATGGGCAAAGGATTTGAATACACATTTCTCCAAGGAAGATACACAAATAGCCAATGTGCACATGAAAAGATGTTCAACATCATTACAAACAAAACAACAGGAGCTCTGGTAGCACAGTGCCTAAGGCATTTGACTGCTAACCAGAAGGCTGGCGGTTCAAACCCACCAGCCATTCCTCAGAAGAAAGACTGGGAAATCTGTTTCTGTAGAGATACTGCCGCCGAAATCCAAGGAGGGGTCGCTATGAGTCAGATTTGACTCAGTATCATTAGCTATTAAAAAAAAACCAAACTCACTGCCATCAAGTCAGATCCGACTCATAGTGACCCCTCCTCAGGTTTCCGAGGCGATATCACTACAGAGGAGCTGCTGGTGGTTTTGAACCGCCAGACTTCTGGTAGGGACTGCGCTACCAGAGCTCCCATCATTAGCCATTAGAAGAATGCAAATCTAAACAATGAGGTAACACTTAGCAACCACTAGAATGGTGATTACCAAAATGATGGACAATAACAAGTGCTGGCAAAAATGTAGGGAATCTGTAATTCTCATACACTGCTGGTGGAAATGCGCAATGTGCACTTGCTTTGGCAAATGATCTGGCAGTTCTTCAAAAGGTTAAACAAAGAGTGCTATATGATCCAACAATTCCACTCGTGGGTATATACCAAGAGACATAAAAACATGCTTACTACACAAAAACTTGTTCATGGATGTTCATAGTAGCATATTCATGATAGTCAAAAAGTAGAAACAACCCAAATGCCCATCAACTGATGAGTGGATAGATAAAACGTGGTATATCTATACAATGGACTAGTATCAGGCAACAAAAGGGAATGAAGTACTGATATATGTTATAACATGGATGCTACCTTGAAATCATTACACTAATTTTATATGAAATGTCCAGAATAGACAAGCCCACAGAGACAGAAAGTAGATTACTGGTTGTCTTAGGACTGGGGTGGGAAGAATAAGGAGTGGCTGCCAAAGGGTATGGGGTTTCTTTTGGGGTGATAAAGTGTTCTAAAATTGATACATAACTCTGTGAATAAACTAAAAATCCCTGAATTGCATGAATCAAATGATATAGTATGTAAATTTAATCTCAATATAATCAAACCTGCTGCTATCAAGTCGATTCTGACTCATAGCAATCCCAACTGGGTTTCCAAGGCTGTAAATGTTTATGGAAGTAGAGTGCCACCATCTTCCTTCAATGGAGCAGCTGGTGGGTTTGAACTGACAGCCTTCTGGTTAACAGACCAAATGCTTTACCCACTATGCCACCAGAGCTTCCATATCTCAATAAAGACAATAAATGTACTTTTATTTTAAAAAGAACAACATTCAAGAAATGGATAGGATATCTGCAGGGAAGTTCTCTTAATTACTATTAAACCTAGGACTATTCACAATCTGCAATATGCAGATGACACAACCTTGCTTGCTAAAAGTGAAGACAACTTGAAGCACTTACTGCTGAAGATCAAAAAGTACAGCCTTCAGTAAGGTAAATATGTTACTATGGATTGCATCTAAACATAAAGAAAACAAAAATCCTCACAATTGGGCCAATAAGCAACATCATGATAAATGGAGAAAAGTTTGAAGTTCTAAAGGATTTCATTTTACTTGGATCCACAATCAACGCCCATGAAGCAGCAGTCAAGAAATCAAATGATATACTGCTTCAGGCAAAGCTGCTATAGAAGACCTCTTTAAAGTGTTAAGGAACAAAGATGTCACTTTGAAGACTAACCCTGACCAAGCCATGGCATTTCAATAGCCTCATGTACATGTGAGAACTGGACAATGAATAAGGAAGACCACAGAAGAATTGATGCATTTGAATTGTGGTGTTGGAAAAGAATGTACCATAGATCGCTAGAAGAACAAACAAATTTGTCTTCAAGGAAGTACAGCCAGAATGCTCCTTAGGAGTGAGAACAGCCAGACTTTGTCTCTCGTATATTGGTCAGTTGTCAGAAGAAATGAATCCCTGGAGAAGGATATCATGCTGGGTAAAGTAGCAGGTTAGTGAAAAACAGGAAGACCCTCAATGAGATGGACTGACACAGTGGCTACAACAATGGGCTCAAGCATGGCAATGACTATGAAGATGGTATGTTCCCAGGCAGTGTTTCGTTCTGGTGCACAAAAGGCCGACTATGAGTCCAGAATTGACTCGATGGCCCCTAACGATTCACTTCAAAATCATGTTTGGAATGAAGGTATTGGGCATCATATCCAGGGTCAATTTATTCATTCCATGAATTACCCAGTACCCTGTACATGGTTCAAAAGGAAATTCTCTAAATTAACTCAAATAAAAATTTCCCAAAGGGAATATACTCAGTCTAGAAATACCATCATCATTATCATATTTTTATTGAGAAAGTATACATGTTGTTAGTTGCTGTTGAGTCAATTCTGACTCATAGCGACCCCAAGTGTGCAGAGTAGAACCACTCAAAGCTGTGACCTTTTGGAAGCAAATCACTAGGACTGTCTTCCAAGGTGCCCCTGGCTGGATTCAAACCATCAACCTTTCAGCTAGGAGTCAAGTGTTTAACGATCTGTACCACCCAGGGACTCCCAAAAGCATATATGAGCCAGAATCAGCTCAATAGCAGCCAACAACAACACAAAATATTTACTAAGCAATAATGTAATAGGCATTTTAGGAACAAAACTACCTGGGCAGATATGCTATTAGAAACAGTTGATTTTCATCAATTAACTGATTACTGGAAAGGTCTAGTAACTTGACCATCTGTAGAACGTCAGTTGGCCTGTATGGAAAATAAAATTTTCAATATGAATTTATTATCTTTATTTTTTAAAAATACAGCTTTGAAATACCTTTATTCACCTGCATAGTAAATTAAATCATTCTTACTGATAAGATTCAGTATTTTATTCTATTTGAATCCTTTAATTAAGAATTTGTTATAAATCTTCCCAACCTCAAGTTTAAGCTTACACAGTAATTAAATGATATTAACAAAGATGACATAGTAACATATTTAACTTACTTACAAGAACATGTTTTACATATACTTTGTACACTAACCTCCAGCAGACAGTATTAACTAAAAATCCATGATTTAATCATTATAGCATATCCTGCAGAACTTCCATTTAGAAACATCAATGATTATTTTACAACTAATAAAATTCGTGTCTTCAAAAGTATTTAATTTAGACCTTTCAACTTGACTGTTTTTGTTGAATTAGAACCAATTAGTGAAGTTTTAGTTTACATTCTAATTTTGGAAGGCAGTAAATAAAAATCATTTTTCTAATTCTTATTTGCAAATCCTCAGAAAATGAATTTTAGGTGTAATCATAACCACTTAATCAGAATGACTAAATGATGACAGATGCATTTACATAAATGCTTCTTACCTCTCTGAAATAAAAATATTGTCAGACTCAAGGTACAGTTCCTCAAGAACTGGCCACCCACAGGCACAGTGGAGCACCTGGAAGGAAGAATAATTGGCCTCTGTTGGTTGCTTCTTCCCATGTGTTTTATTACCATAACTTCCACATGAATTCAGTTTAGTTACCATTTAAAACTAAAGTATCTCACAGACATCTAAATACAGACTACATTTCAGGCAAGGAGTGTTTGGTGGGGAGATGATCAAATTAAAATGTTAAAGGGTGGCTGTGGTAATTATGTTTGTGTGTCAAGTTGGCTGGGCCTGGTTGAGTGGCTGAGCAGCTGGTGGTAGTATTCCCCATGATAAGACTGGCAATCAACTCCATGGTGGGATCTACCACAAGCAGCTGAGCAGCTGCCTTTGAGATGTGGTCTGCTTCCTGTATATAAGGAGAAGCTTTGAGAATGGTCTCTAGCCTTTGGCACACTTGGACCCTGCATGTAGCCGTGTCGTTGTTCAGCAGCCTGCCATGTTCTGCTGACCTTGGGACTTACAATGGACTTTAGCTAATGGCCTGCCATGTGGTCTGGTAACATTGGGATTGTGCCTTTTTATTTGTCAACTTTGGGGCTTCCAGCCTTAGCAGCCAGCAGCTGTTTGAGTAAAGAAACACCTGAAGCTCCAGTGGGCCGGAAGCAGGAGGCGGAGCTGGACCCCAAGGTTGAGAGGCTTTCACCCAGCCCCTAGAGCCTGGGACTTTGAACTTGGACTTAAAGCCTCCAATTTGTAAGAATAAACTCCTGTTTGTTATGGCCATCCCATTTGTAGTATATTCTTGTCAGAGGAGCACTAGGTAACCAGAGCAGTGACGTTTCAACGATATAGTAGCATTCACCTTTGATGCTTTGAAACCAACCAAGGTAGTATAAGTGCATCATTTACGTATATTCTGAACTGTATAAAGGCAGCTACAAAGTTGAACTGAAGATGCTGATTGAACACATTCTTATTATTTGACATTACTTGCTTAAACAAGGAAATTGGTGTTAAACACCTTTCCTCAGTTCTGGGTGCCAATTTAGGTTTGTAAAGAACAATTATTTCTAAACTGTCTCACTTGGACTTTGCTGCCATCTCCAACACCTAACTTCCTATCACTTTTCCTGTTCTGGTACTAAATCTAAATCTGGAGAAGCATATCTTATAAAGAAGGCATATTAGAATGCAACACAACACACTGCCAACGAGTCAGATCCAACTCACAGTGACCCTCCTTGGGTTTCCGAGGTGTTATCACTATGAAAGTAGTTTGCCCAACCTTCCTTCCAAGGACTGGCTGGTGGGTTTGAACTGCCAGCCTTCTGGTTAGCAGTCAAATGCCTTAGGCACTATGCCACTAGTGCTCCTGAAGGCATATTAGAAAAGAACTTAAATAAGCTGATGTTGGCTAAAGGGAAACTAATCTCCAACCAAGGTGCTTCTTTGGCATTTCACAGATGAACAATATTACTAGGAATGTACTAATCTGCACCTGGTTTTAAAATGGAATATTCTGGGTATGTGTGAAACTGGTAAACTGTTCAGAAAAAAAAATGAGTACCAGATATAAGTTCCAACTGGCTGCAGTGACAGAGACCCACTATTCTTATGAGCCCAGCTAGATACAATGAACAGTGGATTATAGTAGCTGAACTTAAAAAAAAAAAAAAAAAAGGATATGACAACCTTTCTGCTGCTCAGTCCCTGCTTGAAGAAAATTTGCAGGACAATTCAGGTAGCTAAAGGCTCAATGAACAGCTAAATTTAAGGCTTTTCAGAATGCATCACATATTTATTCCATACCATTATGGAAAGCCACTGTTCAGAAAGATTCTGGAACAAATCAAAATGAGCTGCAAGAGAGAAAATATGAATTTCTATATACAAAATTCTACTTAACTCTAACGATTCTGATACTTCTTTTGTAAGACAAGATAAAGTATCTGATTATTTGGGCAACAGGATGATTGAAATGAAGCCTCATTTATGCTCCAATTCCCTATTAAACCACAAATTTAAAATTGCTTATTACTAGATTAAAACACAAGGAGCTCTGGTGACATAGTGCATAAGGCATGTGACTGCTAACCAGAGGCTGGCAGTTCAAACTCACCAAACACTCCATGGAAGGAAGATGGGGCAATCTGCTTTCTAAAAGATTTACCACCTTGAAAATCTAATGAGGGTCACTATGAGTCAGAATCAACTCGATGGCAGGAAATTTGGTTTTTTGGTTTAGCTTAAAACACACACATACACAAAGACATAAGATTACCTCAGCCCATGTTATTCCTGTTCGATTAAGGACTAAAGTCTTCAGTGCAGAAAATGTTCCTGTTAGAGATGGTGAGCCAACAGGAAATTGTAGTTTATTTTCACTGTATAGAGAAAGAAGATACACTGAGCACTGATACAGTGATGCACCTGCTTGCTATGCAAGTAGATCTAACTGAAACATTCACTGAAAGCAACAATTTGGAATATAATCTGAGGGTCTGGATTTGTTTCCATCTTAGAATGAAATTCTATTACAAACAAAGTGAGCCAGATTACTGGTAGTTTTAATATTTATAATATATTATTAGTATATGCCATGCAAAGATGTCATCACAGGATGAGGTGGCTGTGTGAAGCTATTCCTGATGCATGAGAATCAGGCATATCTAAGGTCAGTTTTCCAGTTTCCCAAGATGTGGCTCATGACATGGCAAAATTAAGTCCCATTCTCAAGAGTCTTAGTAACATGCTAGACTGTGCACTGGAATTTTGCTTCTCTAAACACAGAGTCTGGCCCTTTTGCTGTCAGAATGGATACAATTATTGTCCTTTAAATTTTCTCTCAAGATTCTCATCTCTAAAAAGATTCATTCCTGACAGTCACCTTGTTTTTTAAAAAAAAAAAAAACACTGTAAAACATTATTCCCATATTCCATCCATAGTCCCAGAACAAGAGACACCATAAGTCAAATTACACCCATTTGCTCTATTTGGTAGTAAAACTAATTTAGGCCTAATGACACGTTAAACTGTACCTGCCTGAGCCAGGTACAACTCACCTGTATATGTAAAGCTAGTTCACTGGTTCAAGTACAAAAGGGGAACCCTGGCTGAGCCTTCGGAAAATTAGGTCTGAAATTAAAACTAACCAAATATTCAGAAGGCCAGGAAAACCGTGACATTAGTAAAATATGTAGATTAATGAAAAATCCTATCAAAACTGAATTAAACAATATCCCAAAGAAATTACTCACTCTTAAAGCTAATGAACAGCATGACCATCTTATAGGTCAACCTCCCCTACCTCTAACCAGATAAAAAAGTTTACATTCCTTATTACAGAACCACCTTGTGTAACTATTTGAAAGATTATAATAACCAATGTGACCTTGAAGAATCATTTAAGCTTAGATAAATTCAACTAAACCAAAGTCTGCCTGTCCTAAAATGTCTACCAGGTGGCAACCTGAGTCCCACCTATCTTCCCCACCTCATTCCTTATGGAGATATTTTGAGTGAGCAAGGAGATAATCTCTCCTTCAGTTTTGTAGTATGTGACAATTCAACAATCAAGAGTTCATACCTGAGAATAAGAACGTCCATGTGTTTAAGCTGGTCAGCAATACGTATCACTTCATCCCATGAGGACAACAGGTTTCTTGACAAATCTACCCTTCTAATATCTCAAATCACACGTTAAGAAACAGTAATTTCAAAAGATTCATAACAGACGGAACAGATGTTACCTCTTAATTCTAAAGTATGGGATCTTTTTTTATTTTTATTTTTATGGTAATTTGGATTAAAGATAACAGAGCAAATTCATTTTCCATACAGCAGTTCACATACACTTTGTCTCATGACTTTGACTGCAATTTCCCACAATGCAACAGCTCTCTTCTCACTTCCTCCCCATAGTTACCTTTTCTCTGTGTCCTTCCTTCCCATGCACTCCTGTCCCCCAAGCTGTCTCCCTGTGCATACACAGCCATTCTAATCTCCCATGATTGATCTCTCCAAGGAGTGTATCTACATAATGTAAATGTTCAGCTCATATGACTATTTTTTTGGCTGGAAGCCACAGGAGCGGGTTCAATTCCAGACCTAAAGGGCTAGACCATGGGATCATTATTTCACTTTATATCCTCTATTCTGCTTCAAAATGTCTCATGAGCACATACTACTTTCACCTTTTTTAAATCGTCTGTCCATTCAGAAACTCAAAGTTTATTGTCATTTATTACAAACTAGAGGCAAATACCGAGTTAAATGAATATGGACCATATGTCTGATCTATTCTAGCATTATGCAACAAAAAGAGAAAAAGTTAATGATGATAATTTTGATTTATAAGGCCCTTAAGGTGTACCCACAGGCCTTGCCCTTGGCACTGTTTAGCAGTAGAAAGCTTCACAACAAACACTGCCCTTCCTCAGGGAGTTATCATGTACCTCAGAATTCTCAAAATGCCATCTACAGGAGAGAGAAGAGGAGTTAGATTGGACAAATATTCAAAACTGCTAAGAAAAATTTGGGGATTCAGAGGGTCTCCTGCAGACTGGAAGCAGTAAGTAAGACACCCACTGCCCCAATACAGGAATTTAGAGAAGGGGAAACCATTGGGACTGAGAGACAAGGCATCTGTGGTAATAGGCAACAGTCAGTGCTAGAGAAGAGTGGTGGCTCTGCCACCAGGAAGGGGCACAATTGAGCAGAATCCAAGGGAAAGGCATAAGAGACTTATGAACCCGGGACTGAACCTAGTTACAGGAGGATCGTACACAGTAGTTTGATGTGTTTGGAAATTCTTCAATTCATTTATCTATTCCATAAACAATTATTGACAGTGAGGAATGCAGCAGTGAACAAAAAAAGTCTCAGTTAGGGGAAAGAATCAAATAAGTGCATCTATGGCATGTCGGACACACAACACACACTTAGAGTGATAAAGCAGAGCAAGCAGGAGAAGAGTGTATGTGAGTGTATGATGTATGTGGTCAGGGGAGATCACCTTTGAAAAGATGACACGTGGACAGAGAACTGAAGGAAATGAGGAAATGCCATCTGGGAGAATATTTCAGGCAGAGAGAATAATAAGACCAAAGGCCCTGAGGTTAGAAAGGTTAAGCCTATTAAAGAAACAACAACAACAAAAAAACCCTCCAGTGTGGAGGGTAGGGCATGTTAGTTAGAAAACAGGTCACTGTGGTCACTGGAGGCTACGCCAGATGACGTTGTTGTTGTTTGCCCTCGAGTTGGCTCCACTCATAGCGACCCCTCCTTGGGTTTCCGAGGCAGTATCACTACGGAAGTAGGATTGCCCAACCTTCCTTCCGAGGAGTGGCTGGTGGGTTTGAACCGCCAGCCTTCTGGTGAGCAGTCAACTGCCTTAGGCACTATGCTACCAGAGCTCCGGGCCAGATGACATAGCACGTTGCAAAGGCCACTATAAAGTCTTTGCTCATTTCTCACTGAAATGGGAAAGTTTGGGAGGGTTCTGAGCAAAAGAGTGATGTGACCTGACTTGTGTTTTAAAAGGTCAACTGCTGCTATGTGGACCACAGACTGCAGGGGAAAAGAGGCAGAGTAGAAAGACATCCAGAAGTCCCTACAATAATCCATGCTTGAACCAGACATGCAGCAATGCCAGATTTGGTATCCCAATCTGAAAGTAGAACTGATAGGATCTGCGCATGGATTTAGATATGGGATGTGAAAGAAAAAGAAAAATCAAAGATAACTCCAAGATTTTTGGCCCATGCAACTGGAACTGTCATTTACTAAGCATGAGTTTCTACCACTAACATAATAATGGCTATCAAAGAGAAGAAACAGAGAACCCACAGAGAAAAAAAAAATAAAAATGAAGGCTGACTAGATAATGCTGGATGCAGTAAGTGCATTCTAAGTCAACTTGATGCTCCTCCTCCAACGACACAGCCCCATATGCCTGCACAATTGTTCTTGGAGGTTTTCACAGCAATCACAGAAGGCAGTCTGCATGCAAAGACCTTCAGACATGGGCTGCTCTTCATTAGAGAGGGCCCTTCATGCAGCCTGTCTTCCATTGCCCCCTGTTGCTGACAGTCACTGTGCCCTGGAAAAGGACAATGGTATGGACTAATGTGTGAGTTCTTTACATGCCTCAGAGTCTGACACTTCATTTCAGGCCCCTTTCATTTCCCTTAGCCCTGCTGTTATCAAGTCATTAGGTTGGTTGGGGAGGTTTAAAGCTCAATAATTCTTCATTCATACTCTCCATTAGGTAGGCAAGAGGGAAAGTATTAAGTTGTTGTTGTTGTTGTTATGTGCCATCGAGTCGGCCCCGACTCATAGAGACCCCTCCTTGGGTTTCCGAGGCAGTATCACTATGGAAGTAGGATTGCCCAACCTTCCTTCCGAGGAGTGGCTGGTGGGT